TCGTTGCCTACCAGGTTGGTAGTCACATCATGCAGTAGCAGAAGTGAATTCAATAGCACACCGTACCCCATGATTAAATCAGTAGTAATTACCTTTCGTGATTGAGTACGTAGTAGAGGAATTTACGTGGGCGTAGCATTTTGTTTTTGGCAGATACGGGTAGAAAAATGTTTCACTCTTGCAACCATTTTCCTTGGTTGCCTTTCCACTAGTAAAAGGTTTAAGACGCGACCTGCTAGAATCAAATCTTGAAAGAGGGTATCGTGGTGAAATGGAGAAAAAGGCTAAACGAGCTATCGGAAAACCTAAGAACAGATTTCTGATTACAAGAGGCGTTGTCAATGGAATACTGAAAAGGGAAACCTGCCAGCTAGATTTTAGATCAATTTCTAAAGTAGCATCAATTGTGAGTACTTTGGATTGGCAACTAACAGTAGGTGTGGAGCAAGAGGACTCAGGCATTCGATCGCTATCTTAAATATTTGGAGTCTAAGGAAGATCAGCTATCGACCCAGTTTCTAAGAAATATACTTGCGGCTAGTGGTAACGGAGGCACTCAAATCTTATCAGGATCTGATTTCGAGGTTAGGGGAAAATTGATAAATGATGGGCATGACCCAGAAGTGTATTTGATGGATTTCAAGGTAAAAAATCAAAGCAAGCCGATCATCAAATTCCAAAAGTCACCTTATAGTAGGATGCGATTCAAGAATATGGAGATGAATAGGAAGACAGTGAGAACCAAATTTGGTAGTACGACTCATACAGGACAAAGAAGTCAATCGAAAAAAGACACAACCAGAGGTCCGTCATTGTATACTCGAATGTTTGCTACCCCCTTCACTGACGCACAGATTGAGGATGTGTACGTAAGTTAGTACGTAATGAGCCGGGTAAATAATACTTTAACGTATGCGTTCGTTTGAATTACGTAATGAAGACGAGAAACTTTCTCCTAATCAATAATAAATGAATCTTTTAGCTAATGAATCCCTTGGTCTTGCAAAGTTCGTACCAATACACGACATTCATAAAAATCGTAAAATGATCTTACTTGTTACCCTGCCCAGAATACTTCAAATGAATAATATAAATTGTATAGAATGATCAAGTGGTTTAGGCCGTCAATAGATTTAGTACAAGATTTTCGTCTCTTGAGAGGGCCTCGTAAAGTTGGTTGCCTGTATCATACGCTGAAGGTGAATCAGAAGGACAGTAAACCTGAGCAAAAGCAGTCCAAATCTTTGGTCAACGACTTAATGGACTTGCTGGAAAAGCCCATCCACAAACGGGATATAGATCAACATGTGGAAAACAAGCTGACAATGGTCAAGTCTATTGAAAGTTTTGAAAAAGACCATTACCAACGAATCTTGCGCGAACTGACTTCAGTGTTGCAGCCACTCAAAATATCTAGCAATCAACATCAACCTATATCCGCTTGTCATTCATTACTCTTATCCGAAGTTAAGGCAGTTAACCAGTATATACGGAAGCTGAGAAAACAGTCAGATCTTGTTTTTGTTGCAGATTATTTACTTGCGCATGGACGACTAAACACAACCTTTCTCGCATCTTTGGTATTCAAAATGAACCGAGCCACCCTTAAAAGTTTTATTAGTACAACAATCAATGACTGCAGGTTCACTTCGCTGGACAAATCATTGCTCTGCAAAGCTTACGTGATATTCTGTTATCGCTCAAGGCAATTGCAAATGATGACGTTGTCTGATCACCTTATAAAACAACATCTATCATCGCTTTGGCTACCTTGTATCCGCAGTGAACAATTCACCAATGCCAAGTATCTAAGAAACCTTATGTCAATTCTGATGGAAGCTTTAGACGAGAATGATTTACTTTCCATTGTGAAATCCACCAAAAGCATGCACATGGCATACGTATTATGGGAGTTGAAACCAAACAGATACAGAGATATAAAAGAGGCCTTTATAGGTAGTTCACACCATCCTAGCTCAAACCGCAATTTATCACCACATCAGAAATTGATCCTCTATCTATTATCGAACCCAGGTGTTTATCAGGACCATCAGTTGCAGATCAAACTGAATGAACTATCTCGACGGCATCGACTTTCATACGGTGAATGTCTGTCGGAGAACTCATTTTTAGAATCCCTAAAAAGTATCATTGCATCCCAAAATACTGTATTTTTCGGTTAGCAGTAATACTAAGAATGTGTATTCATCGCTGAGATGGGGTGAAGTCAAAACTCCGGGAACAAGTACCCATACTCATCTGGGGAGCTGTTATTTCCATAATCATACTCTTCTTCGGGATACACTTCGAACTGAGAGCTGTCACCCACTCCATTCGGAATATTAGGTTCATAGGGTGTTTCAATATTCCCACTCAAAAGATTTTCCCACACGACTTCCTGAAACCATGGATGATTTTTGATATCTTCAACTCCGTGGCGAAGATTGCCTAGCCTGAAAGTGACATCCTTCATTATTAAACCTCTTATAAGAGACCTTGCATCTATGTCAATGAATGGGGGAATCTCATACTCACACTTGCTTATTTTCTCATAAATTTTTATGGGAGATGTGTCATAGAAGGGGGTCGTGCCCACTAACATCTCATAGATGAGAATGCCAAAAGACCACCAATCGACTGCTTTGTTGTACGGTTGGACCGCAATTACTTCCGGGGCGATGTAATCAGGTGTACCACACAAAGTATATGTCGTCGTTTCAACTTCTTTGGCAAAACCAAAATCGGTTAGTTTTATGTGTCCTGTTCTTGTCAGTAGTATATTTTCGGGTTTGAGGTCTCGATAGACAATATTTTTAGAATGTAGATATTCGAGAGCGAGCAGGACCTCTGCGGCATAAAATTTGGCCACTTGATTAGGGAAAACTTTTGATTTCCTCAACAATGAAAACAGCTCTCCACCTTCAATGTAGTCCATTACCATAAATATGGATTTTGTATCTTGGAAAGTCCCCCACATTCTTGTGATGAATGGATGTTGCAACACGGACAAAATTCTCCTCTCGTCATTGGTGTGCTCGATTTGCTTTGATTTGACTATTTTCCGCTTGCGGAACACCTTCATAGCATAATATCGTCCATTATGGTTTGACCGAACCAAATGTACACGCCCAAAAAATCCAGTGCCTAAAGTTCGAATAACTTTGAAATCATGTATTGAATACTTTCCTTTAGTCTGCTTATAGGGAAGATTAGTGTCCTTGGTCACATTTCGAGGAATGTCATTCGTTCTGTTGTTAAAGGGGTCTTTGGCCATTTGAGAATGACTTGAAAGACAGCTGGGAGTTAGATTGGAAGTAGAGCTAATTAAAGGTGCTTGTTGGAACTCGCATTGCTCTTGGATTGTTAGGGACGACGAAAGACTATGCGATTGAGATGATGATGGATGTTCAGCGTAAGGTATTATTTGATGTACTTTGTTACCTTGATCAGAAGAGCTCATGATTTCATCGAAAATTGCTCACAGATTATAGTAATAGCTTTCATTCTGAAGCTTACGATATGCTAGTAAAATGAAATAAAGTTAGTTTACTGGCATCAAAAATACTGCGAGTATGATAGTTTTATTATTCGGCTTACATAATACATGCGCTGTAGATCTCCATGAAACGATTTGAATGAAGTTTTGTACAGATCGTATTTCCGTTAGCTGGCTCAAACTGAATAGTTATACCCCCCTCTCAAAAGAAGCAAGCATTGCTTTAGGTGTATTCTGCTGTCAGATGTATCCTACAAAATCTTTTCTTTACTGTGAGTGACGCTAGCTATGAACAGATATGGCTATGTTAAATTGGTACTGGTTCGAACTTTAGATGAAAGGTTGTAATTCTTGATAATTCGTAGTGAATATATTAAGCTACTCAGAGCCTCGGAATTTTGGCTGGAAAACATTGAGCCGTCAGCTCACTCAAGACAATGTACCAGGTGTTTAATCCAGCGTCAGAGGATGCCTCCACCAATATCTTGCAACTCTTGATGAACGCTGAGGACAAATCTTTGTCATGAAAATTGAATTAGCAGGTCCTCTAGTCAACTAAATCTCTGACAATGATTCGGGTAACGATTAGGCTGAATATCGAACATATCCAGGAAGTATACTCAAAGAAAAGTAGACTTTTGGTGACAATTTAATAGTATGATGAGGTTTTAGAGTTGAGCTTTCCGTCATTTCTTGCCAAATTCCCTCGAGTATGGGAACTGTTGAGAAAAAGATGCCTCTTTGGAAATTAACGGTTTCGGGGTTCCTGACATGCTGTGCGGGATGTGATGTCAGCTTTAACAGGGAGTCGATAGGAATAATTTTCCAAAACATCTCGTGTAATTTGATGCTTCTGGTGACCCTACTTATATGATTGTGAGTTTGCGCCTACTTGGCAAAACTTGCAGTCTATACTCCTCAAGTTGTACTGACATGAGGGAAAATGAGTTTCTCATTGGACCAGTGGTCATCCTAAAAAGTTGTCTTGATCCGCAGATAAGTTTGAATTGATCACTGGGTCATTCGTCGGTTGGCTGCTAGAAAAATACCGTTGCGATATGATGACTTGCTATCGTTAGCTCTTTTGGACGACAAAAATTCGCATCAGAATATTCGATTTATTCAAATTGCCTACAATACAAACGAGCATTCCAAACATATTTTTAACACAGCCCTGGAATGCTCAACAAATATTTCAACAAGTTTTCAAAAATTTTAGTTTTAATTTGACGTAGTCGATTTTAAGATTATAAATTCTTCCCATAGAATACAATGAAGCCGGAGATCGAGCAAGAACTGTCTCATGTGTTGCTGACGGAGCTTCTGGCTTACCAGTTTGCCTCGCCTGTCAGATGGATTGAGACTCAGGACGTTTTTTTAAGAGACTTCAACACGGAACGCGTTGTTGAGATTGGGCCTTCCCCCACTTTGGCGGGCATGGCTTCGCGTACGATAAAGGCGAAGTACGAGTCCTATGATGCAGCGCTTTCCTTGCAAAGACAAGTTCTGTGCTACTCAAAAGACCAAAAAGAGATTTACTACATTCCAGATCCTGCAGATATTGTGACCGCTCCCGAGGATCCTCTCCCACCGTCAAAGCCATCTGACTCATCTGCAACTCCAGCAAACGCCTCTTTCCCTGTTGCCAATCAACAAACCACCCCAGAGCCCGCACAGGCAGCAGTCAGCATTCCTGATGAGCCTGTCAAGGCTTCGCTGGTTTTGCAGGCGTTAGTTGCCCATAAATTGAAGAAACCTCTCAGTGACATTTCAATGGGGAAAGCAATAAAGGATCTTGTTGGTGGAAAATCTACCGTTCAGAATGAAATTCTTGGTGATTTAGGTAAGGAGTTTGGAGCTACTCCTGAGAAGCCAGAAGATTCACCATTGCAAGAGCTTGCTGAGCAGTTTCAAGAGACATTTCAGGGCTCCTTGGGAAGACAGTCTTCCTCTCTTGTCGCAAGATTAATGAGTTCCAAAATGCCTGGTGGTTTTTCGGTAGGTGTGGCCAGAAAGTATCTTCAAACTAGGTGGGGACTTGGCCCTGGGAGACAGGATTCTGTTCTATTGTATGCTCTTACAAACGAGCCGAGCCAAAGGTTAGGTTCAGAAGCTGATGCTAAATTATTTCTGGATTCTGCCTCCAATTCTTATGCCTCTCAAAACGGAATCACCTTATCCCAAGCTTCATCTCAAGGCTCTGGTGGCTCTGGTACATCTGCGGTAGTTGACTCCGCTGCTCTTGATGCCGCAATGAAGGAGAATAAAACCCTGGCCCGTCAACAATTAGAAACTCTGGCAAGATACTTGAATTACGATTTGATGAAAGGTGAAAAACTCCTCCTTAAGGAAAAAGAAGCTACCGCTCTTCTTCAAGCTGAGCTTGATTTGTGGGCCGAGGAGCATGGTGAATTCTATGCTTCGGGTATTAAACCTGTTTTTTCATCCTTGAAAGCTAGAACTTATGATTCGTACTGGAACTGGGCCAGACAAGATGCGTTATCCATGTACTTCGATATCATTTTTGGAAAGCTGACGTCTGTTGACAGGGAGACTGTCACTCAATGCATTCAAATTATGAATAGAGCCAATCCAACTCTCATAAGATTCATGCAGTACCACATTGATCATACTCCAACTCATAAAGGTGAGACATATGAACTTGCGAAGAAGCTTGGACAACAACTAATTGACAATTGTCGTGAAGTTCTCAATAAAAGTCCAATTTATAAAGATATATCCTACCCCACCGGACCAAAGACAACTGTGGATAAAAAGGGACGCATCATTTACACTGAAGAAGCGCGACCAGCTGTTAGAAAGCTGGAACAATATGTTCATGAAATGGCACTGGGCGGTGAATTAACAAAGGAGCCTCAGCCGTCCATTAAAGATGACCTTTCAAGGATATATAAAGCTATTTCCAAGCAGGCATCGGCTGAAAGCAAGATTGAATTTCAAAAACTCTATGCTAAACTGCTAGACTTTGTCGATCAGTCATCCGAAATTGAGGTCTCAAAGTCTGCGAAGGCCGTCCTTGGTGACGAAAGTGTTCCTGAATCCGACAGTGACACTGATGAGATTGCTTCGCTAAAGGATTATGCAGAAATTCATAAGCCTGTTTCAAGTACTATTCCACCCGAAACAATTCCCTTTTTGCACATTCAGAAGAAAGACAGATTGGGCTTTTGGAGGTATGATAAACATGCCTCCTCTTTATATTTAGATGGTCTTGAGAAGGGTGCAGTTAATGGCATAACGTTCAAAGGAAAGTATGCTTTGGTCACCGGGGCCGGGGCAGGCTCAATTGGAGCTGAAATTCTTCAAGGATTATTGTCAGGTGGTGCAAAAGTGATTGTCACGACGTCAAGATTTTCCAAAACTGTCACGGAATATTATCAACGCATGTATTCGAGGTACGGGGCTGCGGATTCTACGCTAGTGGTTGTACCTTTTAATCAGGGATCGAAGCAAGATATAAAATCGCTTGTTGATTATATCTACGAAGACGCTAAAAAGGGTGGACTTCAATGGGATCTGGATTATGTGATCCCGTTTGCCGCGATCCCAGAAATGGGAATTGAGATCGATGCCATTGACTCTAAATCTGAATTGGCTCATCGAATCATGCTCACCAATTTGCTGAGACTATTGGGGGAGATATCGTCCAAAAAAAGAGATAGAAATATTCAAACTCGCCCAGCTCAGGTAATTCTCCCTCTATCTCCCAACCATGGCACTTTTGGCTCCGACGGTCTATACTCAGAATCCAAGCTTGGGCTCGAAACTCTCTTCAACAGATGGCATTCGGAGTCGTGGTCATCCTACTTAACCATTTGCGGAACAGTGATTGGCTGGACTAGAGGAACGGGATTAATGTCAGGGAATAATATCATTGCAGAGGGAATCGAGAAGTTGGGCGTCCGCACTTTCTCTCAAAAGGAAATGGCATTTAACATTCTGGGTCTAATGACGCCGGAAGTCATGGAACTTTGTGAAGAAGCTCCAATAATGGCGGACCTCAATGGCGGACTGCAATTTGTCGAGAATCTTAGAGAGTATACAAATAAGCTGAGATCGGATATCAACAGAACCTCGGATGTTCGCAGGGCCGTTAGTATGGAAACTGCTATCGAGTATAAGATTGTAAATGGTTCAGGAGCGGATGATCCATTCAGCAAAGCAGAGATCAAACCAAGGGCTAATATGAAATTTGAATTCCCAAATCTAAAGTCTTACAAGGAGCTCAAAGCACTGGCTCCAGATCTTGAAGGAATGCTTGATTTGGAAAGAGTAATTGTGATAACAGGCTTTGCAGAGGTCGGTCCATGGGGAAGTTCCAGAACTCGATGGGAAATGGAAGCTTACGGTGAATTCTCTCTAGAAGGTTGTGTTGAGATGGCTTGGATTATGGGATATATCAAGTATTTCAATGGCTCCATTAAAGGAAAGCAGTATACTGGCTGGGTTGATGCGAAATCCAATCAGCCTGTGGATGATAAGGATGTCAAAAAGAAATACGAAGAGGACATTCTTAATCATTCTGGTATCAGACTTGTGGAGCCGGAATTATTCCATGGGTATGATCCAAAGAAAAAGAAATTCATTCAAGAGGTTGTTGTTGAGCATGATCTTGAGCCGTTTGAGACTGATCAAGCTACCGCAGAACAATACAAAGCCTGGCACGGGGACCATGTCGAATGCTTCCCTATCGAAGGCGCTGAGGAATACTCGGTCAGAATTTTAAAGGGTGCCAAGCTTTTCATTCCGAAAGCTTTGCGATTTGATAGGCTAGTTGCTGGACAAATCCCAACTGGGTGGGATCCTCGCACTTATGGTATTGATGATGACATCATTTCGCAAGTTGATCCAATAACACTTTATGTTCTAGTCACGGTTGCCGAGACTCTCTTGAGTTCCGGTATCACAGATCCTTATGAGTTTTACAAGTATGTTCACGTGTCTGAGGTCGGAAATTGTTCTGGCTCCGGAATGGGTGGAGTTTCTGCTCTCAAAGGCATGTTCAAAGACAGATTTCTGGACCAACCTGTTCAGAATGACATTCTCCAGGAGTCGTTCATCAATACCATGTCTGCCTGGGTGAACATGCTTTTGCTATCCTCCTCTGGCCCAATAAAAACTCCAGTTGGAGCATGTGCAACGGCACTTGAATCTGTTGATGTGGGAATGGAAACGATTTTATCAGGAAAAGCAAAAATTGTGATTGTGGGTGGTTATGACGATTTCCAGGAAGAAGGATCTTACGAGTTTGCAAATATGAATGCTACTTCCAATGCAGACGAAGAATTTGCTCACGGACGCACGCCTGCTGACATGTCGAGGCCTACCACCACTAGCAGAAGCGGATTTATGGAAGCTCAAGGTTCGGGATTGCAGATTTTAATGACAGCAGAACTCGCTCTTAAAATGGGCGTTCCTATATATGGTATTGTTGCGATGGCATCTACGGCAAGTGACAAAATTGGAAGATCTGTGCCTGCGCCAGGAAAGGGTATCTTGACCACTGCTAGAGAGCATCACGGAGATTCTAAGTTCACATCACCTAAACTGGATATCAAATACAGAGCGAGACAAATCAAAGCGAGAGCTTCGCAGATCAAAACTTGGGTTGAGGAAGAATTGTCATTGCTATCGAAAGAGGCCAGCGTTCTTGCAAAGCAGGATTCCTCCTTTGATGAAGAAGGATTTTTGGCTGAACGGGCTGAGGAAATTCGAAAAGAAGCCAAAAGTCAGATCAAAGAAGCCCAAAGAATGTATGGCAATGACTTCTGGAAGAACGATCCTCGTATTGCACCAATACGAGGCTCATTGGCCACATTCGGTCTAACCATCGATGATTTGGGTGTGTGTTCTTTCCACGGAACATCTACTAAAGCAAACGATAAAAATGAGACTGCGGCTATCGACAAGATGATGAGCCATTTAGGACGTACGGAAGGAAATCCCGTATATGGTGTTTTCCAGAAGTATCTGACGGGACATCCCAAGGGCGCTGCTGGTGCATGGATGCTTAATGGTGCTTTGCAAATTCTTCAAACGGGCATTGTTCCGGGAAACAGAAACGCCGACAATGTTGATAAAGTCCTGGAAAACTATGATTTTGTCCTCTTTCCTTCGAGAACGATAAAGACGGACGGAATAAAAGCAGTTTCTATAACCTCATTCGGTTTTGGACAGAAAGGTGCTCAAGCAATTATTGTCAATTCAGACTATCTATATGCAGCACTGTCTGAAAAAGAGTATCAGGAGTATCGAAAGTTGGTTGAAACAAGATACAAGAAAGCATATCGGTACATGCACAATGCCATGTTGACAAATTCTCTTTTTGTTGCTAAAACAAAGGCCCCTTACACAGACGATCTGGAAGAGTCTGTGTATTTAGATCCTCTAGCTCGTGTTACAGCAACAAAAGGTAATAAGCTTACTTTCAAGGATTCTGAAATCCAGTCCTCTAAATTATCCAACTGTCCATCGATAGAAACAGCTGAGCTACTCAAGAACATGGCCAATGGACTGACTGGGGAAAAAGGTGTTGGAGTTGACGTCGAGTTGTTGTCCACCGTCAATAGTGAAAACGAAACCTTTTTGGAAAGGAACTTCACAGATACCGAGATTCAATACTGTATATCCTCTCCATGCCCGAGGGCGTCTTTTGCTGGAACCTGGTCTGCTAAAGAAGCGGTTTTCAAATCGTTGGGCGTAAAGTCCAAAGGAGCTGGTGCGTCTATGAAAGATATTGAAATTATTCGGGACGACAACGGAGCTCCATCTGTCAGACTCCACGGGGATGCCAACACAGCCGCTTCTAGTCAAGGGGTAAAAGCAATCAAAGTTTCTATCGCTCACGATGATATACAATCGATCGCAGTTGCGATATCGGAGTTCTGATTGAAATTGATATATGAAGATCTGATGTATATACAGACTATATAGTTTTCGTTTGGCCGTGTTTTCGTTTATTATTAAAGCAGATGGACAGACATTGCTAGAATTCATAAAAATTGCCTATGTTTTCCCATTTGTGGGTACGAATTTTTCCATTAACAGATTGAAAGTTTTGACAATAACTCTAGACTCCGTGGCATTAGCCGCTTCCAAATGGTATGTCTTTGGAGCCTCATGGTTTTGCTTCATGACAACTATTTTGAAATAGTGAGGAATGCGAGGATTTTGCTTCACCTTGATGATTTGATTAAAATCGAAACTAGTTGTTTTTGATTCGTACCAAGATCCTTTTGATTCATTGAACGGCAGAATGTATACTTGATGCCCATCTATCACAAGAGATTTGGGATATCTGCCTTTGAAAGACATTTGTTGGCGCCGCCAAATAGTCCATCGATAATACGTACCCGAACCTAAATAGCCTCGATCTTTCATATTTTGAGAGTCTCCCTGATTTGCACCAGATATATGGGGCTCATTTCCATTGAGACCTGTCAATTGAAGCAAAGTTTGAAATTTTTTCTTCCTTCTAGAGACTTGATGAGATGAAATTGGATGCACTGTTTCATTAATTGATTCCATGTCATTACCCACATACGCCTTGTCTGAGGCTTTCATTATCATTGGTTCAATAGCACTCTCCTGCTGACTATGCTTCCCAGAAACAGGCCTTGTATCTGAATTGATATGAGCATCGCATTTTGTCTTTCTGTCGTCAAAGGTGATTCCTGACCCTATGGAAGTAGCATGCAAAACAGAGTTCAAAGGAGCAATTCTCACAGACCCGAGAGTCTCTAGTGACCCGGGTCCTGTATCTGTAGTGTCTTTGAATGCGCTCGAATTGGCAACACCCGGGCCTCTCGAAATATTTCGTGAGTTGTCGTCCTTGGATTTGAAGTCCAAGACGAACTCGTCAGCACAATAAGAGATGAGTAACCTATCTCTCTCCAGAGGCCCCATGTCGTCATCAATCTGCCCGTCGTCGTCAGCTAGATATAGATTCCACAGCTTCGAATCCAGATCGACAGCAAAAGGGCGGCCCTTTTTAAGATTCAATCTCCTAATTTGGGATAGCGAAGTTTGAACAACATCCTCCACCGCAAACGACTCATCTACTTTTATTTGTATGGGGTTTTCAAAACCAATGGCTAGTCGAGGAACGGCGATCAAACAACGGAGTGCCTTATCATTGTGAGGAGCATTCGATGAATCATCTTCGAGTCCAAAATTTTCGTTTAGCAAATCAGTAAGATTGGAGTGCTTCTGCATTAAAGAAGAGCCTGCTTTCTCCTTAGTGAAAAGTATCTCCCGACCTCCTTTCGACTCCGAGCTCGATTTTGTTTCTGGCATCTTTGGTTTGGAATACCTCGAAGGGCTGGAGTTGCTGGTCGCCGCCTGATGCCAAGAATTTTCAGCATACAAAGTTAGGCTTCGCGACCATTTTGGACTCGATCCATCCTCGCCCGAGCTAGACAATTCTGAATCAGACGAGAAATAATCATCAGAGTCCAGCTGACTCTGGAAACCAAAAGCATCCATTTCTTTATCTGATGGCACCGTGTTCTTAAATATAAAGCTTTTTGTGCGAGCAATACTGGAATTTAATGAGACAGGCGCTAAGTCCGGATCATCTTCTTTGGAAACATTTTCTGGGATGAGAGAACTTGTATTTACACTTGATGCTGCGGACAATACAGTGGGATGCACGCCTTCTCCCGCTGGCCTAACATTTCGACCCCCCGGTGAATAAATCTCACGGGAAACACCATTCAGCAAATCTTTATCATTGGCTTCCAGCGCGTGAATCTTCTCACTAGAGATATCGTCTGAGTCTTCGTGCAAATCATCCGAGCTTGCAACGTAGTCGTCATTTTTCGAGTCTTTCCTTCCCTTGTACTGTTCATTTTGAATCTGAGCATCTCTTGTTTGTGGTCCAAGGCTAGCGGACATCGATAATGGCAAGTCTCCAAATGGATCAAGACACTCCGTCGACGGCTTGCGAGCTGAGCTTTCTAAACGAGTAGGCGTCTCGCCATTCAAAAAAATCTCCGCATTAGACTTCACCTCGTTTACTGATGTGCGAACTAGTTCAAACCGAATCGCGCTGAGAAGCGTCTCCCTTTTCTGACAAAAAGCCATGATACCTTGCTAGGTTCATGTGGCGAATATTAATCACGTGATTACCACTTCTAGATGAGCATCAAAAAGTAGTGAAAATGGTAAGTTGAAGCTTTTAGTTATATATAACACTGAGCTCTTCGATCCTGGCTCAAAATTCTGTTGTGCTTGAGAATTGAATTTCGTGGAGACCAAAAACGAAAATTTCGTGTTACCCTCCTTTCAGGTTTTAGATTAACATACCGGTCAAAAAGAAAACATTTTCAAACCTTCTTAGTTATATTCAAATGGCAGGCGCATACACCATACTTGGAAAGGCAATCCCCCCACACCATGTAGGTATTAACTAAGCTATCAATACAGAGCTAACAGCAGCTTGCTATCGCGACTATAGGAACCGTGGTGGCTCTCGTGGTTCCAAAGCCATGGTCACCAAAAGTCAAATTGGAACCAAAAATCGACGCATCCTCGCCTGAAGAGGAGAAGTTCATTAAGGACTACCTGGAAAAGCATTCATAATTGCGATGACATTGCTTTACTAATATTCTGTAACTGACTATAAATGATATACTAGATACAATTATATTGAATCCCGTAGAGAGCAATCTATGGTCGGAATCTGACTCTAGGAACTAATTATTGAGCCTTAATCACAACGTCGTTCAAGTAAAAAGGTCGCTGTCCACTATCTTGGAGCCGGTTTCTTTTCCATGCCGTGCCATTCTCGATTTTTCTTGCCGAAGAACGGCTTTTCTAGCAGCATCAACTTTAAGCGTTGATCTAACAACATTAGGTGAAACGTATTCTTTATTTTCATATATTTTCGGACCACAGAAAGAGCCCTCCAATATGGTTATCAAGGTGAGAACAAATCTCGGACCAATTTCGATCAACTTCATTTGTTCCAAATCTGCTTCCCCTGATTGGGCATCCACCGGCTCGTTAATCTGATAGTTGCGAATCCATATTTTCCCATCCAAGAAAGCAAAAGTCATCAGGTGATCAATAAAAGGCTTTGATTTTCTTGCAGCCGGAGGAACTCCAAATTGGTGAATAAACATTTCTTTAAGAATTCTCAAATGTATATCGCCATCGAAAGATTTATCAAACGATAATATTGGACGCGAGCCCTTTAGACAGTTTCCGGTAAAATTGAGCTCATCCATTGTGTGCAAATTCTGAATATGAAATTTTATACTTGGGCCGTTAGGGGTTTTCGAAAGCCACATATAGAGATCCTGGTGTTTACGACTTTCAAAGTACATGATATTGTTGCAGTTGTGTAGCTCGGCAAGCTCATTCAGTTCGAAGAGATTTTTTTTGGTGTCCAGTTTTGGCTCCTTCCTTGACTGAGGCAACATTGATTGCAGATCATTGATGAAATGTCTGTGCCTTTGGATCACACCACGAGAAGAGATGAGCAAGCACCTTTGACGATTAATTCTGACGCTTGATCTTCTAGACACACTCCCAGGCTTAGTCGTATCCTTGTCACGTTTCAAGGCGCGATAGATTGCTGACATTGTAGGGAATAATTGGGAATAATGTTCAAACCCTATAAGTAAATTTTTTTTTGATGATTACATTGCTGAACTGTACACGACTTATAAGATTATGATTTTATAAGGGACTGCAGTTCTATCTTACCAAATTCAACCACATTCCTTTCGCTAACGCTTATTGTAGATTGTGTCCTGCTCATATATTCCGAGATTAGATCTCGATAGACGCATGCACTAATCAAATCACTGTTTGACTGCCGATGCTATAGATCGACGAACTCACATATTCCGTCGTTACCCTGCTTTGAAGCGGTCTCGCTGGCTCCACTCAAGTCCGTAAGTACTCAAAATGGACGATGACTTTTCATGTCATTCTTCGTGAGCGAATAAGAACAGAAACACTTGGCCCTAGAGCTATGGGTAGCATAACGATGCTCCAACAATGCAATTTACTGAGTTGAATGGACAAAGCGACAAAAAATTGCTATGGTCATCGAGCGTTCACATCATCGTAGAATGACTATGTCATGGTCAAAAAATATGGAAAGTAACAACCTCTTCTTCTACAAATTTGCAGAGCCTACATACTTAAAGACCGATCTTCAACCTTCTCAACTCTTCCAGAGCAATGAACGTTAAGATCGTATGTGGTCCTAATCTAATAAATGCAGGAGTCCATCCTCTAAACATGAATCTCAAACCTTCTCTAGATACAGCGTCCTTGAAAATATCGAAAGAGCTCTGACCGGTACCTGAACTGTTCATAATTCTCGTTTTTAGAACATCTGCTGGTGAGCAGACAGTCGTTGCTACTAATCCAGCAATTAATGATGCAGAAAAGTGAGTTGCTTTAGTTTTCGGGTCCATGCTCAATTTTTCAACGAGCACTTTCTTGGCCACATCGTATGAAACAACTTGCGAAGCAGTCATAAGAATGCCTCGAGCCAAATTCGGACCAAGCCCCCTAAAGAGCGCAGTGACGTTTTCTTCTCTAATTATTTTTTGTAGGCCGTCCAATGCATGCTTGTAATGTCTTCTTTGAGATTCAGGGAGACTATTATCATTTTGCATTCGAATATTAACAACGTCCGCAGGGTTTCCGACGACACCACCGACAGCGCCAGCGATCATAGATGCCGCCAGTAATTGAAAGGTAGATGGCTGACCTCTAGAGTGGCTTGTCATTAATTTTTTCAGCTTCTCATAAACCCCAAACCGTGCCGTTGAATATGTCGCCTGTCTTAGCAGCGACGCAGTTAACCCCGCATATGCTGCAAGAATGCCCTCTCTTCTTATAATCTTAAATGCCAGAGACACCAAGCTATCTCCAGGAACCTTTGCCGTCTGGAGTCGGACTTTTGCCAAATCCAGAGGATGAGTAAAGAGACAGGCAAACATCGACGCCGCTCCTGCATCGTTATCAATCTATTAAATTGTGGTACCTACCTCCATACCAAAATCTAAGATGTTAGCTTTCAATGTGCTTGACAGGAAAAAATGACTCAACTTACGGAAAATTCGCCGAACGCTCTAAAGGCTTGGTTGACTTGTCTGAGTTCATGAATGATGTTTTTCAACCAGTTTGTATCTTCGTTGTAGAAGAGAAAAATTTCACTTCTGCACTGCCATCAAAACTTCCACCTAATTATGAGCAGAAGGAAATACCAGTCTTGATATTGGGAGCTTCACAGCGTTTACCACACACGAACACGCCTATAACCCAACCAAAGCTAGTACTGAAGGGTTGCGGTGCTGGATAGACTCATAATACTAATATAACGCATGCTCAAGACCCCGGAAGCCCTTTATTATTAGTGTAGGCTAAACTGTACTCAGGATGTACCCTAGGGCAACCGTTCCGGAGATTCTGCGTTCACAATTGCCACACTGGGGCCTGTTCGCCTCCTGAATTCCCTCCTATGGCCGACGACAAGTTGCGCATAGTGGGAGATACGTACCAAAGATTACGTAATTCTTTAATTTGATGTTGTCGGGGTTGCATCAAAACCCGCATTGCACTGATTGTTCTCTTATCTCGAATGTAAAATACGATTCTACTTTCTGGCGCGCATGCTGCGAATCACGTGAAGGAGAGAGCTACTGAGAATTGTTACAAAATCTCCCCAGATGGAACCAACTACACCTAACACCAACGATCACTTTATGGGCGGGTAAATATAGGATTTTTCTTTTCGTGGTGAGGCCACTCCTGACACCGAGTCCGATTGAAGGCTGAAGCAACTGCCACCACGAGAGATCTGCGGGATCCCCTCCAAAACTTCTCCCGATAATTTCCATCACGAATAGTATCAGAATTGAGCACAACTAAACAGTCTCTGGTTTCCTGCATCAATGTCAAACTATGAAGAAAAGTGCTCGTATGTATCACAGCCTCGGGAATTACTAACATGCAGAGCCCCTGACCTCTTGTTGATTCTGGATCAGTTACTCAATTCGATCACGGAGTCAGACCTTTCATTGGAAGACGAACTTTATTGGGAATCTCGTGTGCACTCGCTTACGGCTGTAAGTTTGAAACCCCATTTTACTAACCTAAGGCGATCACCCATATCATAAGCCCCACGTCCAGAAACCCTAAGGATGAAATGTTGGTCAAAATTCAGAAGACAGCTAGTTGCTTGATCTACATCTTAATTGAACGTCAAATACGAGCAGCCAAGCTTGAACAGTTGCTACTAGATTACATATCATGCAAGCATCATGATAAGTTCTGCAAATCTTCAATGGGATCTATTACTTCAGAAAAAACTGTTGAATTTGCACGCGACTGCCCGCCATATGCCACTGTAATGAGTAGCCAGCCGCGATACAAAATCGAGAAACGTTCGAAGCGCTTTTCAAAGACAGCTCAAATTGAACTAGAAAACTGGTAAGTACACGGATCTTGAACTAACCGAAGGTATACTGAGAATGAAGACAACCCGTATCTCTCGAAGAGAGATTTACAGCAACTAATTCAAAAAACTGGACTGTGTGCTCCACAAGTTAGGAATTGGGTTTCAAATAGACGAAGGAAGGAGCGAACGGTGACGATTTCAAAGGAGCTCTCTGACCTTCTGAATCGTGATACAGATTGCTCTGCTGATGATGTAGGATAATTAAATTGTTTGTTTCATATTGCATGCTTTTTCTGTAAACGCACGAGTAGAGTTGCGAAACCTCTGCTTAGTTCAAAAATTTCCTCCCCAGCCAGTGATTTCGCCAGGATGACATTGGATGGACTAAATTTATCGTTTCTGACAAATCTCCCTCAAATTCCAACCACTTCTCCCTCATTAGAGCGCTTGTTGTCCGAATATGAAGCAATGACTAATGGGAACGAGAGGTCAACCAAGATCGCAAGGAAAAAATCCATGAAGCACAGAGCTCAGAACAATAAGAAGCGTTTAAATGGCTTCATGGCTTTTCGGGCATTTTATTCTCGTAACATTGCAAACTACAACTCCCAAAAGTCTCTTTCTCAAGTTCTTGCTAATGCCTGGAATAGAGAGAAACATCAACAAATCTGGTCGTTGTATGCCATTCAGTATAATAATTCAAAGAGCAAGGAACGATTCTCTGTATGGTTAGAAATGAAGCTCAACAAGAAACTGAGAGAACACAACTCAGATGACCCCAATACTTGGCGGGAAATCAATTTCATGTCCGATATTGTCGTTGAAGATGTATTTCAGGCATGTTCTTCATAATACT